TTGTTGTTATTATTACTATTATTGTTGTTGTTGTTGTTGAGGGAGGCATGGTTATTGATTATAATATTGAGATTGTTGTGATTGAGTATGGTATTGTTGTTATTGTTGCTACTGTTGTTGCCACCATTGCTGTTGCTGTTCGCATGTTGCTGCTGTTGCTGTTGCAGGTTGTTGGCTGCCACAGCCACCACTGCAGCTGCCGCATTCACGTTCACATGGGCCAGATGCTGCAAATGATGCTGCAACAATTGCGTTGGCGGTGGCAAGCTGCCATTTGCAACATTGTTGCCGTTGCTGAGATTGTTGATCAGTTGCTGCTGTTGTTGCTGCTGCTGCTGCTGGTGTTGCATGCTGCCGCGCAGCAGATTGTTGTTGCAGTTGCCATTGAGATTGGGGTTGTTGTTGCTGGTATTGTTGCTGCCATTATTGCCATTGTTGTTGTTGCTGGCCAGCAAGTGTGGCAAGTGCAACGGCAAGCTGCTCAACGGTGGCAAGGCCGCTGTCTGCGACATGTTGCCCAGCAACTGTTGCTGCTGGTGTTGCTGCTGCTGCTGCTGTTGCTGCTGCTGGACATTCTGCAGCAGTTGCAGTTGATTTTGTTGATGTTGCAGGCCGTGCTGTTGCTGCTGCTGCTGCTGCTGTTGTTGTAGCGCCAATGCTGGCGGCGGCATTTGATAGTCCATTCTCATTGCTGAGATCACAACTTCCTCAACTCTTTCGGTTCAATTGCAAGTTACTTAATGCCTATATCACTCAGTAGTCCATGTTTAATGCTGCACGTCACTTTATTTTTGCTTCTGCCTGTCTGTCGACTTAATTAACAAGAAATTTGAAATGCGAATCGGATTCTAAATAGTAGCAGTTTGCAAAAGCTTTTATCGCACGAGCTGTTGCTGCGGTTGCTGCTTCTAATTGCTGCGATCACCCGCACAGCAGCAACATTAGCCCAAAACTACAACAATACCAACAACTATTGTGGCTAGAACGAGAGCAGCTTTAAGAGCGAGCTTACACTCACCCATACATCTACAATAAAGTACTCAGAATACTTTGGCTCGCTTTTTATTTCTATTTTTTTTTTGCATTTGCAATTTTTTTCTATTGTTTGTTTTGTTTGCTTTTTCTATTATTACGCTTCACTGTTGTTGTTATTGTTTTTGTTGCTACAATTTGTTGTCAACTATTCCGCGTACTGAGCGTCGTTTTGTTTTATTTGTCTATCTATCTATCTTTGAATGTATCTATGTATCTAAGTATCTAGTATGTGTGCGCTTGGCTGTGGGGCTGGGCCCTCGTTTTGTTAAGGGGTTCCGTTCTCGCTGTCCCGCTGCCCGCCTAGCTTCTGAATGAGAAAAGTTTGACCTTGACGGCGGGCTACAACAAAAAACTAAACAAAATGCTTTTTTTTTATATTTTTTCGCTATGCGTTTTTGCCATTTGTTAGCCTGATCGTCGCTATAGTGGCTGATATTGTTGCTGCTTTGGGCTATCTGTACTATATAGTATCCGATTCTTTCTTTTCTTTGATAAAAAATTCCAAATACTATTAGCATTTAGTTATCTTTCGATTAGGAATTCTCGGTATCTGTTTTATTTTTGATAAGAATTTGTCTATTCTATATTTATATATATTTTTTAAAGAGCTATTTCTCTAGGCAGACTTTTATTCGTTTTTTTTCTGTATTTTATGTATTTTAATTACTTTTTTGTGGGCAAACTTGTGGGCACTATGTATATTATATCTTTTTATATAAACTTTTTTTTCTTTTTTCTTATTTTTTGGCCAAAAATTCACGTTTTTTTATCAAACACTTCACAATACATTTTAATTCCAATGGAGATCTCCTGGTTAGGTGGGGTGACTGCTGGGTAGGCCTGCTCCTTTGGTCAGAAAATAACGGCGAATAAAGGAAACGAAAGTTCACAAGTTCGCACGAATTCGAAAGCGCCGTGCTAAAGACGAAGACACGCGTCGTATACGTATTTTTTTTATGGCTTTTCGGCTTGCAGTTGTGTTTGTGAGTGAGCGGGCGAACGGGTGAGTGGGGGGCTGGATGGTTGAATTTATTTTGTTTCGGTTTGGGGTATTCGGTTTTTGGTTTGTCAGTTTTGGTGGAGAGCCGTGAAACCGAACCGGTGCCGCCGGACTGCGAACGTTGAGTGAACGCGCGCGTCGCCAGCGCCATGCAACGCAGCTTCGCGCGCAGACCCCCATCAGCAGAGAAAAGCAGAGGAGGAAAGCAGCACCAGCAGCAGCGCAGACGAGGAAGGGAAAAAGCCAAACCCAGACCCCCAGACCCCACAGCTCAACGCTCAAGACGCTCAAAAATAAAAGCACACGAATTGGTGCCGAGGCGACTGCGCAGCCGGCGTCAGAGCCAAACTTGAAACCGAAAGCATGAAACCACTCTCTTTTCTCGCCACCCCGCCCCCCTCTTGTCCATCGCTTTTTTGCGCATTCCGCCTGTTTACTTTCTTTCGCGCAGCCTGCCAAAGTTCGTCGCTGCTTCTGCCAGCCACGCTTCGTGGGAGCTGCTCTGCCGCACGTCGGCGTCGACGTCAATGCGGAAGCAGATTTTCAACGGCCAGCGTCGCCGCCGGCAGCAGCAGCTCTGTTTTGAGTGTTTTAAGCCCCAAAAAGCTTTCGTTTCATTTGTTTGAGTGGATTTTGTTTAAGCTTCAGTGGGGGTTTCTTCATTTTTTGTAAATACATTTTTTGGATAGATTTTTAAATTTTAAGGGGCTTAAAATATTAAGTTTTTTTAATATTAAGACTATAAGATTTTAAGATATTTTTTTCAAACTAGTATTGAAGAATTTTCAAGATAGTTTTTATTTCAAGCAACCCTCATTTCTTTGCAACTTGAATATCTATACCCGGTACTTGTAGAATAGAATCCCCTTACAATCCATACTTCTTCATATCTTCCCATTTTCTCGATAAATGTTAGTCAATGAAACAAAGCACATTCTTACCAGCAAAATGTTTAGCAAAACATAAAAACAATCAATTTCACATGAAATTGCAATCGCAATCCAAAACACGATGCTTACCTGCAATGAAAGAATAAAGGGAAAAAATTGTTTAAAATTTGTTTACAATTTAATTTAATAATCTAGATTCTAGATTATAGAACACAGTGTGAATTAATAGAGTGATATTTGGTTTTGTCAAGGGTGGCGGAAATTTTCCAAGCATGGGGCATGGGGCCGCCCTCCCACCAGCACTGACACTTATCCATTTTAGCTTTTCCCGCTTCCCACACAGCCAATTTCATACAAATTATTCATTCTGCCTTTAAAAGGTCATTTCCAGTATTTTCAATAGCGAATTTCACCAGCAAAAAAAAATGAAAACAATCGAGAGTTTTTTAAAAGGGGGAGGTATGATTGTAAGCCACCCACACATTTCATTTTTCATTTTCCTGTTTTCATTTTCCATTTTCCATTTGGCAGGTGCATTTCCATATCATCTGCCATAAAAATCTCATCAGCCTAATTCCGAAATCTAATCAAACCAAATGCATCTCTTAGCGTTGACCAACTGAGGTCAGGTTTGTAGGAAAAAAAAGTGAAAAAATGGTGGCAAAGTCGCGCTTTTCAAAAGGATTTATGCCAACTGCACCGACAAAGTGGATCAAAAGGACAAGTAGGAAAAAATGGAGAGCCCCTTTGACAAGCGAAATGCCAAAAACACATGTATAATTGATATTAAATTTGCAATTTAACGGAAAATCTAATAATTTTCCAGTTCTAATTGGTGTTACGAACAGGGAAAAACAAACACTCCCGTAGAAAAATAAATTATACGAGAGCCTAGGGGGAGAGTCGTAAACTGATAAGATACTTGGGTGTATTGTGGGTAGAAACACTTAGCAGCACTGTGCTATTTGCCAAGAAATAATAATCTAGACAGTTTCGTTGAAACGCAGTTTGGCCTAGGTCGCAAATGATTTGTTTGATCGAAAAGGAAGTAAATGGGAATGAAAATAAAACTTAATTCCAAAGTTTAATAAAAATTCCCTTGCGGTAGGCAGAAGTTCTAAGGGATTGCCATTGCAACTGCAGTGGCAATCGTAGATACATTTTAATTTCAATTCAGGCCGACACAGACGTCATTCGGTATATATATCTCTGTATATATATATTTTTAAATGCTATAAAGTCACTCATTTGTACAGCTCACGTGTGCACGACAAGCTTTTCTTGGCATTTGCGACTCACAAGCTCCGAGTTCCGAGTCACTGACGTCGGATGATATCAGCCCTCGGGATGCAGATACACATTCTACAGACTCTTCCATATCGACACTTCTCCCTAGACTCTCAAATTCCCCTCGAAACAATCTCGAAAATAATTAAAATTCACACAACTGGTCATAGTCATACATCTAATCAGTTGTTTACTATTTTAATTTGAAGCGAGACTACAAAGGGCTACTTTAGGGACTTTGAACTTTAGGATTTTAAAGAAAATATATTTGAAACTTAAGAAGAAATATATAATAAATTGAATTGATTAATATAAACTACTAAAGAAAAATAATTAAAAATTCGAACTACCAATGAAATATAATTTGAAATTTGTGGGCCTATTTGAAGATCACATTCTGAAGACTTTCTGTCTAAAATTCTTAAGAAAAAGTTCTGTGATTACATATTCTGGGAAATATTTCAACAAATAATTAGGAAACTTTTTATTAAAATCAAAGACTATAAATTTTATATTTTTAAAGAATTTTTGCAATATATATTCATCAATAAATTTTTATTTCTTTCTGTGATCATTAATAAACAAAAGCATTGATTTTTGACTTTTCTTGGAAAGATTATTTATGGTCTTTGGGTTTATCAGATAAGCAGAAATATAATCCCCATTATAGAGCTTATGTTTTTAAAATATTAACAATATTAATAATTAAAAAATTTATCACTATCTCTAGCTATAAATTAAATTTTTAGTAGAAGACCTCCTCTACCCAAACACCTCCATCTTCTCACCTGAACTGGATGGCTGAAATCGCGCCTTGAGGCTGTTCAAGTGATTCTGATGCTCATTGGCGATTACGGCAGCTGCCACGGCATTTGCCACATGTTGCACGGAGGATACATTGTTGTTATTATTATTATTGTTGTTGTTGTTATTCCCACTGTTGTTCTGTCCGGGATTTGGACCATTTCTATTCTGCCCGCCCACAGAGGGATTATTATTGCCCCCGGGATTCGCCCCGGAATTCTGAGCCCCGCTTGCAACAGCCGCAGCTGCTGCCACTGCGGCATTGCTCTGGGGATCCATGAAGGAGTTGCGCTGATAGTGCGGGCTGTCCTGGTAGATCCTTTGGTAGGCCAGCGTGGGCAGGGTCCACGAGTTGTTGGTCTTGTAGTGGAAGTTGCCGCTGCCGAAGATCGAGTGGGGGTTGGTGTTGTTGCTGTTGTTGTTGCCGTTGTTGGAGGAGGCGGCGGCAGCGGCCACGGCCGCGGAGGAGAGTGTGTGGGCCAGTTGGACGGCGTGATGTTGCTGCTGCTGCTGCTGAGCGTGTTGCTGCTGCTGCTGATGATGGTGTTGCTGCTGCTGCTGTTGTTGTTGTTGCTGCTGTTGCTGCTGCTGCTGGTGGGAATGATGCTGGTGCTGTGTATGGCCGTGGAGTTGCTGCTGTCCATGCTGCTGATGCAGTCCATGCGGCTGCTGCTGTTGTTGCTGCTGCAAGACGGCAGCTACATGCTGGTGATGTGCGTGCTGCTGCTGTTGCTGCAAGTGCTGTTGGTGTTGCTGCTGCTGTTGCTGTTGCTGCTGTTGTTGCTGCTGCTGGTGGTGGTGCAGTGCCGCCTGTTGCTGCTGTTGCAAGGCCCACACGCCAGTGGCACCGCCACTGCCACCTCCGACACTGCTCTTCCCTGAATCATTGCTGCTCACGCTGCTGCGATGATTATCCAGATTGGCTGAAGATCCTGTCATGCTGCCGTCGTTGCCACTGTCGCTGTTGCCACTGCTGCTGTTGTTGCCGCTGTTGTTGGTATTGTTGTTGTTGCCACCGCTGCCGTTGTTGCTGCTGCTGTTGCTGCTGCCGCTGTTGGTGACAGCCGCCGCCACCTGGGAGTTGAGTTGCTGGAAATACTGCGACAAGGTGGCATTGGCATGCTCCTGGGCGAAGAAGCTGGTGCAGGAGTTGGTGTCCGACGACATGGTGCCTGCTCACTGGGTTCTGCACTGGGTCTGGGACTTCACTGGGTCTTTCACTGGGATTGGGGTGACCGGGTAGGTGACTTAGGTGATCACCTCCTTGTGCTGGACGTGGTTGAACTTGCTGCTAAGCAGAATGAACTTTGGGCCACGACCAAAAGTTGTGCGCATTGTCTCTCCACAAAATCACTGTTTTTTTATTCACTTTCTTATTTGTTTTTTAATTAGTTAGTTGGTTTTTTTTAGAATTTAATCTTAGGGTCTGGGGGTTATGCCCTCTAAATCGCCCACATCTGAAAATATTGTGCTTTCATTTGAAAACCCAGATTAGTGTTGAGCACTTTTTGTTGCATATTTTTTCACATTTTTTTTTTTAGCCAATTGATAGCCAATTTGTTGTCGCTAATGAACAGGTGATCGTGGGGTGTAGAATGTGGCTAGTGTGATTCAGTACAAGGAAGCGATTGGGGATGAGTGACGAACTGGTATTCGAGTATTCGATAGTGATAGTGACTGATAGTGGTAATGGCTCCTGTTTGTTAGTGGATGTGCTTGTTTTTCGTTCGCCCATGAAATGCACTTTGTTTGCGTCTATTTTTGTGTGATTCCTATTTAGTTTCCATTATTTTTTATTAATGATCATGAAGATAGGGAATAAGAAAAGGCATTGTATGTATTGTTCATATATATATTGCTCTTTCTCGTAGTTCAATTAATTTTAATAATAAGACTTTCCAGATCTATGATGTATCTTGAATCGAATCGTTACAAAGGCTTTACGTGATTGCTTTTTCAATAAAATTATTCAAATATCAAATGTTTAAGTTTTCGAAAACAAAGTAAATTCTTATTTTGCCAAATCAATTGAATTATTTGTAGATTCTCTCAGACGGGGGGTTTTCATCTCAGCCTTTTGTGGGAATACCTTTTCTTATTCTCAGATTTTGTTGCTGCTTAGAAATGAGATCGTATTTTGCATTTGGTTTTGTTTTTGGTTTTTTGTATTTTTGGTGGTTTTCGGGTTTTCTTTCTGGGGTTTTGTTGTTTTTTGTAGAAAAATTAAAATTAAATTAAACTGTTTGGAAATTGGATCCGTAACTTTGGCGCCGCTGGACGAGACTCTCTCTCTCTCGGGAGCTATCTTTCCTTTTTTTCCCAATTTGTATATATCCGTTTTGGAAATAAGTTTTAATTTTTGGAATTTATTTCACACACAAAACACTGCTTGTATTTCACAATATTATTTCACTTGAAACTTTTAAAAATATTTTCATAAAGTTCTATTAGAACTTTGTTTTGCATTTATTTATGCATTGAGAAATCGAAATCGAAAATCGGAATCAATTTCAATTAATTTGTTTTGTAGCTGGTGGAATTTGGCTTTTCCCGCTCGACTAGGAAACACGGAACGACCAACGACGATTTTCACATGAGAACGCGATGCGACAGAATGCCGGCCGAGCCGATTTTCTCGGTCTCGGTGTCCGTCTCTGGCCTGTCTCTGCCGCTGTCGCAGTTGCCGTCGCTGTCGCTGTCGCGGTCGCCGGCAGCGTCTCCAGCTCTCTCAGCTAAAAAATTGCAATTTTCTGCAAGTAAGTCGCCTTACGTAAAGGGCGGCAGCGAGCGCAGCCCCGAAAAACTGCCCCCTCCCTCCGCTTGTAATAATTGTTTTTGCCGTTTTTATCACCAAAAAGTATTTATTTGCGCACCTATACTGCATTTGTTTAACAAAATATATTTTTATATATTAGCCCGGGCTGGAATGAAGGGTTCCAGGGGGGCGTCGCAGCCGCAGCGACGCTGGCAGCGCTGCTGGCGCAAGTCACGCGGATTTCAATATGACCCACAGCCCACTGTCTAGCACAGTTCTAAGCACGTGTTGCGGACACACCGGCCACACACACACGGCCAAGTTAATTGAGAGAGTGAGAGCCAGCGGGAGAGAAGTGCACGTTGCGGTGCGCTTGCAGTTGGCATTCTAACAGATACAGATACGCAGATACAGATACAGTTACAGGGCCCACCGGTAGATAGGAAGCAGATGAAGATACAAGCGAATATCGCGAAAATTCCAGTCGCTTCTCTTTCTGTCTCATTTGCCTTTACAGTTATAATAGACTATAGGTATAGCCCACTATATCACTCAGAAATATGTATCGCCGCCGCCGACTGACTGACAAGTGCGTGGCTAATATTCGGCTTATTCGGCACTGATGCGTCTGCAACACGTGACGTATGCGTAATGTGCTCAGAGAGTCTCTGTGCCACCAACTAATTAACGCTGCGTCACTGGAAGTAAGCAGATCTGGCAGAGCGAAGGGCTGGGGAGTGCTATTTGGAGGGGGTTTGGTATTTTTGAGTGGATCGGTAAATACCAAGGGACTGCGTAGTTGTTCCACAGGGCGTATACTCGATACAGATACGACGTGCACTTAAAAACGGAAACCAATTGCCGTAGGTCATGAAATTTTCTTGGAATTTGCTAGATATGTTTAGACTCTATTCTATGGCAATTATTAACATACTATATTATATTTTAATTAATGTATAAATGAGTTTTTATTTTATTATTGGTGTAGGTCGTGGAATTCTCTTGGGGTTTTTGCCAAGTCCGGGTTGTGGAGTTTCCAGTTTTATTTCAATGGATTGTGGAAATAGTTACTCAGTTTATTATATAAACAACCCTTATTCATAAATAAATACTGAAAACCCTGACCAGTGACCATTTTAAACTTTTCTATTCTTTGAAAACAATCTACCTTTATGGCTCTTTATGGCCCTTGAGAAGCTTAGTCACCCTTAAAACCCTTCAATCGAAATAGCCACACAATCAGAGTGGAAATCATGCCTCAGTTGCCTGTTTCCCAGGGCATCAAGCATACGCCCTGTGGTTCGGGGCGCCTATTTTAAGATCCCCCCTAAGAGTCGAGGAGCAGAGCAACAAGTCATAATTTTAGCCTTCGTGTCCCGAAACGGGACTCGGCTCCTGCCAATGGCAGAAGGATGCGTGGCCGGGCCCTGCTATTGGCCAGGCTTATATGCCGAGCCATCGGGCAGCTTCGAGCCAATCGGAGCAACAGGCGAAAAAACGGGGGCGAAAATCGCAGCTCTGCCGGCGCTGGCGTTGGCGGCGCAGTCGCTGTCGGCTGTGCGGTCGGCGGCGGCAGCGGTGGTGCGGCGTTGTCAGGTTTTCTGTTTGTTTTGTTGCCAGTTGTTGTATTTTGTGTTATCACGTTTCGCTACCACGTGCGCCGGCCCCTGTTTGCAGTTGGGTGTATGAGTGTGAGTGCTGGCGATTATACTGTGAGTACGCGCCCTCACAGACACACAGATACAGGTACTCTCACAGACACATATTCCTGACAACTGGCGCTTCGACGGATGAATGAGCCCTGAGAGAGCGGGAGAACTCGCAAAAACAAACCCAAACGAGACGAAGACGTTGTTGGTTTCCCCGTTCTCGGGTTTATAAATAGCAATTTAAAGCAACAACCACACATACAGATCGAATCAATGACTCACACACACACTTGCATCCGAAAGAACAACAAAAAACTATAAACAAAAAAAAAAATACAAAATAATAGGACAATGAAAATAAAATAAATTGTGCAGAATGAATATCGGAAGCGGCGGCGGAATAGAAACAGAAAGTAAACAAAGTAATTGTTGCAATTGCGATGGCGATGGCGATTTGTTGCAATTTTTAGAGGGCGTAGAAGCAGCTGTGGAAATTTTGCATTTTCCACAGAGCCAATCCAATCAGAGCTGAATCAAACACTTTCCTGTTTACTGACCGTCTAGGGTTCTAGGCTTCTAGACTGCCTCGAAGCTTGTAGCTGTGAGTGGGGCTCTGGTGTGGCGACGTTCGTGTCATTATACACGTGTTTAGTGCACCAGGTCGTAAATTAACATTTTGCTAAATAATTATTTAGAAATGCTGAAATGTTTAAGCGCATTTTACGACAGCTCGACTGGCTGGTTGAAGGCCCCAACCAGTTGACCTAGATAGCAGGGCTGAGGGGGCTTCTAGGCAGTAGATATAGAAAGGGTTTATAACACAAAGATATTTTACAACTTTTATGAGTTAAATTTTCATTAAAATTAATTAAGCCATTTTGTTTTACATTGGAATAGGTCAGTATATAGCAATTATAGCTGTAGTCTTATTCCTTTAAATTATATAACCAAATCTAGACCTCTTTTCTTTATCTAAACCACATTCCTACTTAAATTAAAATATCCAAAGTTTAATAGTCTTATTAGAACAAGTTAGCGGGAAAAAAAATTTAAAGGCAGGCAGCTTATCAGCAGAAGACCTGGCCAATACCGGTTGGCTCGGCTACCCACTATCAACCCACACTATAAGCCAATAAACTTAACAATATCTCCCCGGCCAGACACTAGCCTAGAGAAGGAAATCAGGTACAAAGTTGAAGTTCAGCAATCGGGAATTGATTTACGTAATTAAAGAGGAGATGGCCCAGGGTATATGGAGGGTGGGGAAAGCTCCCCTGTTGCTGGTTGTTGGTCCTATCACCTGGCACTTTGGACTTGAAATTCGAGTAGAAAATGGCAGAAAAGAAATCGCAGCGCTGCTGCTGACGTCGCCTGGCCAAACATGTGACCCCGCCGCCAGAGTCGCCAGAGCGGGAGATGAAAAAGGTAAGAACAGGCAGCTGGGGTGGCTTATTATTTCAATTGGAGTGGTAGGCCAGGCCTAGACCAAATCAGCGAAAAATTCGATTTAATTGTCAACGCGGCGTATGAGCAATGTCCGGGGAAGCGCTTAATAGACGACAGTGTGCACGTGTTCCAGCCACCAGTTTCTCGCCCGATGATGAGCTAAAATGTTTGAATAGTCTGCTGGGGGCGGGTGGCGGCCAGGCTTTGTGGGGGGCCGGGTCCAAAGGGGGGCAAGCGACTGCCAGACAAGTTGCCTGCAACAAAAAAAGCAAAAAACCGACGCTGAACTGGAACTGACACTGAGAGAGCGCGGGCTCCAAAGAGAACGAAAGCGCACTCGAAGCTTTTTGGGGGCTAAGCTTTGGATTGCAATTTCAACCAAGCAGCCGCCAGAGGGCGGTAATAAGTAGAAAGCTTTCGAGCACAGTGGTTTAAACAGAATAATTTATTGGAACAATTTTTCAAGCTTTTTTGATAAAAATATAACTAAACTTCTGAACCAAAAGAATAAATGTACCTAAAGAT